TTGAAAATGTGTTTCTCTCCATAAATGCTTGCCCATGTCTGCTATTAGGGCTCACTTCTTAGCCGTGATACCTTAAAAGGTAAAGGTAAAGGTTTCTCCTTGACAGTAAGTCTAGTTGTGTCCAACTCTGTGGGGTGGTGCTCATCTCTGATTCTAAGCCAAAGAGCCGGTGTTGTCCATAGACACTTCCAAGATCATGTGGCTGGCAAATGAACACATATGAAATGGCATTAACTGAAAATAGATTGGTTTGCCCAAGTCTTTCTTTTTTTTTAAAAAAAAAAAGAAAGTTTATTTTTAGTCTGCTTGCCATTAATTGCCTCTCCCCTGTGTATTTGTTATTCATAGTTAGGGCAAAAACTGAAGGCAACAAAGAACTCTCTTGAAAAGAAAAGAATAAATTCTTCAATCAGTGATATCTTTGGAGCATCACTGAAGGCAAAACAACTCTAGAACTGTGAAGTGGATTTAGAGAGCTTGAAACCACAGCCCAAGGAAACGTAGCTTATGACAAGCCAGGATTATGTTTTACCATGCTTAGTTTGGAAGAAGCTGATGTATGCAGATTCGCACTTATTGTTCTCAATCTTCCTCCTGGCTTGCATCTTATTTGCAAAGGAGATAGCCCATCAAATCATCTTCCTAATTTAATGTCTAACATGATATTGAAATATGCCTGTCATATATGTGCATTTGGAAATAGGATCACGATAATGAAACACAATGAAATAAATATGCTGTGCATATTGTGCAGTGTCTGATGCTTTCACATCCAGATTGCAAATTGAGAGACAAATAAACAAGGTGAAGGCTTTCTGATACAATATATTTACAAATTAGAAATTCGAGAGGTGTCTCCTGCTGTTTCTGTTCTTGAACTCATACTAATGACAACTTGTGTAGTCATTTGTTGTTGTTTAAATTACTAAAAAAATGGTACTTAATTGCTAACCCAGATTTCTTTTTATCTAAAAGTCCATCCTGATATCTCACAAATGTCTCCAAGAGAGTGTTCTTTTTTGTCCTAATGTGTTCTGTCAGTTCATTTTGTTCTGCCTGCCTTGAATATACAAAGACACAGTCTCGCCTTCAGATATAAACAAAGCATTCAGATTAGGTTCAGTGACTGGTGGTTTTCATATCAGTGGCCAAATGAATCTCCTCTGGGTTTTAGTCTGATATTTAAATATGCTATCTAAGGTGCTGCAACTGATTCTCAAGACAGATTTAGTCTTGTGAAGTCTGAATTATAGTTTTAAGTGGACCCACCACTTGAAGTAATGTGGAAGCTATGAGGCTCCAAGGGGGCTCTTTTCATCTATAATCTAAATAAAACACTTACATTATAAATGATCACATCAATATTACATATGCCTCCAGTTAGTTTACATTACACCGATATTTTTTCCACTGTGGAGGTATTCTCTTTCTCCCAATGCAATCATCTAAGCCTCCCTGACCATTCACTGGATGATGAAGAATAAGGAAGATCTCAAAAACATCTGGCTATATTCCCCTATAGCTAGGTGCAAAATGATTACATCAACAGACTGCTGAAGGACCTCTACAGATTATGTTATTGATTATGTTTGACTATGGGAACATAAGTAAAAATTTATCTGAACTTCTTCCCCACACCAGACAGAGGATGGCTGTGGGGCTACTCTGTGGTAAGCCCATGGGTTGGCAAATGACCAACTGTACTATAGTTCCACACACAGATCTACTATGCTTTGTTGATACATGAACGTTCATGCAACATGAACGTTCTCTTCATGTTTCATGGCTTCAAACATTTTTAAAAGGTTGGTTTTCTACATTTATAACAGTGGTTGTTAAACTGTGGCTATGATGTGTAACTGTACAATGATAGAGCTGCATCAGTGACTTAATATGAAACCATGCTACTGAATAATGTGATAATGCACAACCAAGTGCTGTGCAAGATATCGTCTTACACAACAGGGATTTTGTAACATTTATCACCTGCAGAAGTGCAATATTTGCCTGGTTGGGTAAAACGTAACTTTGATTCAATCTGATTGAAAGTAACACTGCCTTTTGTAAACCTACCAGAATGATATTTTTTTTAAAAAAAAATAAGAATGATATTTTTTTTAAAAAAAATAATCTTGGCTGATAGCCTACATAGCAGTTGTATGACATACACCCCATATGTGAAGTTACAAATTGTTTTGGCAGTTTGTTTTTGCATTATAGCAGAGGAAGGGCTTCCTTATCTTTAGGCTCAATAACACCCAGACCTCTCAAAACCCATCTGTTTCTTTGCTGGTCCTCTCCTCCACGGCCTTAAAGTGGCTGGTGGAGAGCAGGCAGGGGAAGTAGTAGAGAAGCCTCTGGCTATGTACCTAAGGCCAGACACAGAATAACAACGGTATCCTTCAGGATCCTCTAGCGGTTCCCCAAGGTCTCAGAGGATGATAGTACTTAGCCAGATGCTTCTCCATCATCCGTACACTTTACCAGCCATCCCTCAACTGGATGACAAGCATTCTAGGATGCCTAACTTGGTAAGTGTGGTGAGGTCATGTGGAGGGAAGCACGGGAACAAGGTGAATCCTTGGGGCAGGATGGTACATAATTCCACCATGGTGGCACATTGAATGCTGTTTCCACATTTAGGCCCCAGCCACTGATGGAGCTATTAAATTTATATACTGAATTCCAAAACTATATAATAAAGCATATAATGAAATCCAGAACTCCATGTACACTGCATGTGCATTCTCATGGGCATTCACATGGGCAATCTGACTTCTTTAACCTTGAACTGAATGTATATTGGATTTTTATGGTCTCCATTAGAAAACTGAAACAAGAGCAACACACCAGTAGGATATCAAATCCTTTGCTGTTTTGTTTATAAATGCACCAATTTGTTCTTTACAATCAGGCAGTAATTCTGTGACATATGAAGTCAAATACCTTTTTAAGAAAAGAATTTAATCAGCTTACAAGGACAACGTAGTCAGAGAATTTTGACTTCAATTTCTTTTCAGTAGAACTTTTAAACCCCTGTTGAGAAGTGTTGCACTTCCATAATAAATCTGGGAAAATGCTACATGATGACATATTTCAGAAAGATTCTGAATATTGTACGCTTGCTTCCATAGACCATTGTGAAAGCATATGAGGAACCAGTAGTAAAGAAGTCCTGCATTATATTGTTACTTGGAGCTAGAGCAGACGCACCAAATCTCTGGAATTTAGTTATGCTGAACCATTAAACAACTGATTCAGTAGGTCACCCCAGTTAAGACTAATCAATAAGATCCAAGCAAAAGTTAGCATTGCAGCTATAGTTTTCTAAGATGTGTCTGTCAAGACGATCTACAGTTAAAGAAAATAAATTTCAAGGCACATTAGTATTGTATGAGGAAAGCAGAGGCTGGTTCTAGATAAGCAATGGATGCTCTGGGATTAATACTATGAGCTTAGTATTCAATATAGACTGGAATCTCAACAAAGCATGAAATCCAGTTAAAAATATGTATGGCAATAAGTATCAATCTTATTGGGCAATAAGCACTATCTAAGCTAGCCCCCACACTACTTTGAAACATGAAATTATAGACAAGTTGTGAGGAATTTGAATATATTTTAATAAATAACAATAAAAATAAGCTCAAATATGGGGTAGTTAAGGCAGCTGCCATCTGCAAGTGAAGTTCAAAGATTAATGAACATGGAAGTAGTAACCAGTACTATTGAGAACCACTGTGGTGTAATGGTTTGAGCCTTAGTATTATGACTCTGAAGACTGGTATTCAAATTCTTGTTTAGAAACTTGACTTGAGGGTTTCATCACACTAGAGCATCTTTTCACTTTAACCAACTTTAAATCCATCTGAACAATCTATCTGAACAATTTAAAGGCCCCTTCCAAAACTACAGACCCCAGAATTCTGCAGGAGACATTCACAGATACTCTAGTGTGAACTGATAAGGCATGCCCAAACTGAATTTTAAGGAAAGACACCAGATACAACTTTCAAAATCTTAAACACACACATTTAAAATTGCGATGTTAGCCGTAGTCACTAAATTTGGATCAAAATATATTTGCATTACATAGTCTTGTAATCATGTATAGGTGCATGAATTTTATCTCATTGCTACTGCTTCTAAATAGAATTCCCAGCTATCATTTCATATGATATATTTATGTTGATTTTTATGTATACAGTAAAAGAAACTACAACTTACCTGGGAGTAAATTCAATTTAATATAGTAGTACTCACTTTAGAGTAAATATGCTTGGGTTTACCTTGATAGAAGAGGAGAGACACCTTCACTTCTGGATAACAATATGGATTATTAATTTCCCAACCCAAATGTATCAGACATTTTAAAAGCAATTCTAATTTTGGAGATTATCACCAGAAGTCCTTGAACAAGCACTATAAAATAAAGAAATCAATCTTCTGCAGGAGGAAGAAAATCAGCACAGCCTACCAAACATAGCAGTCAGCCACGATGGTATCAGCAAGTCCAGCTAGGATGGAAACAATTCTATTTCTTTTTTCATTCCCATTTGTATGTTATTATGGCCATCCTTTAAGAAAGCAGCACTTTCACACTTCAGAAGCTGTACAGCCCTATTCTGAGAACATCTGTCTTCAACCAAACCTTCTTAGAATATTGACCAATGGATTGTAAGTCTCAGTTCAATACATGCTCAGTACATGATCAGCTTTTGCTTACTCTTACACACATCCAACCTACAGTTATGGATGCTTTTGATTCCTTCATTCCAAGCATCCTAGAAATAGATGTGCACAAGCACAATGCCATTGGTATTAGCTGAATGACATCATTTGATATTGTCCAAGAATGGGAAGAATACACAGGTACTTGAAGATCTAGTCATAATTGCAGTTTCTGTGTTGAAGATAATCTCTTTCCTAATTCTTCTAAGCAGATCTCAATTATGCCAGGCATTTGAACACATCTCCAAAATGGCAACGAAACAAGTCTCAACATTTGCAAAACATTCCTTTATTAATAGAAATAAATTATTTTGTATAAAAATGTGCATGCGTCAACCATTGCATTTATCATTAGCACAACGCAGGGCTTCAATTCAGTCAGCCATCACAAGAAACAAACTTCATCTTCTTATACAATTTGAACAAGTGTGGAACAGGAATGGAAATTCTCACAATCACAAAAAAGTACTTACAAGTATAACATCAGACATGGTTTTTATTTCAACAGCATTTTTTTCACAAGCTAACATTTTGTTTTGCTTTTGTGATTCACCTTCTTTCATTAGTAAACAGTTCTGACATTTGACACTCAGTCATATAATATAATTCTGGGTCATTTCTCTTCGAACCCACCTGCCCCTCCTGCTTTGGGCGCATAGTTAATCCTTGTCCTTTTACAGTTTTGACTATTTTCTAGAGACATCTCAGAGGCTGAGTTCTCAAGGTGTTATAGTCATTGTTGGTTTGGTTTTTTTTTAAAGTTCACATACTGCAAGTTTTCAGGTATGTTTGGTTTCCCCACTCAGTTTGCATGATTGTTGTAGCTGACATAAGTCGTCTTGGAAGAGGAAGCTGTAAAGCAAAAATAAATGCAAATCAGCTAACTGAATACTGAAAATCCCTTCTTATGGCTAGGAAAAGAAATGGATTTAAGAAGCTTAACAGCCCTACGAAACATTTTGTGCCAGTGATATGCCATCGGGATGTCTTCAAAAGAACTGAACAGAATTAGGTATGGACATTAACAGGGACTGCCAAGAGAGTTTTAATTTGGTTTGTTTTTGTTCAGGCATAGGTTCAAATTGCCCCCTATCCTAGAAACCAGAAAGGAATTTCTTCCAAGTTACTTTTTGGGTGGTTTGTATTTTTAACATTTAGTTGGTTCATTGCTACTATTTGAGCCACACACATTCCTTGTCAGTTAATTAGCTATTTTTCCATGTTCAGTGTTACCTATATGTGCATTTAACTCATTCCCCATGTGCCTCAAATGTGCGGTGTGAATTGGGTGAGGTCAGGAGAAAAAGACTTAAATCCAGAGGTTATATTTGTTTGGTTAGGTTTTGGGATGCTGTGGAAGGAGCAAGTGTTTGGCTAAATAGTGCAACTGAACATAGGAAGATGGAAAAATTGAACATAGGAATGGCACAAGGATTATGAGAATGGATTTTGCTCTGTTATCGAGGCGTCATGAATTGATAATAATTGTTGATTTTGCTATTGTGTATGATGTGTTTTAACTGTTTATTGTTGTGATAACTTGCACTGTGTAAACCGCATTGAGTCGCCTAATTAGGCTGAAAAACGCGGTATAGAAATAAAGCAAATAATAATAATAATAATAATAATAATAATAATAATAATAAGGAGGTATTCAGTTACCTCTTTCTGCAATACTTTCACCATGTAAAGCATTTCTCAAATCTGTACCATTTATTTGCGAGAGGAAATCTAGACAGACTGGGCAATATCTAACCACAGCCCAAAGACAAGTACAAAAATCACCTGAAACCAGGCCTGTAGCGAGGGGGGGGGGGTTAGGGGTTCAACCTCCCCCCCTGAAATGTTTCAGATTTTTTTAAAAAACCTGGTTTACTCATGAATTTTATCTGGTTAACCATATTCTCATGCTAAGTCTATTAGATGCAAAAACTTAAGAGTCCCTCCAAAACTGCAAGCACTATCTCAGGCAAATATTGACAATTTATTCACACTGTCATTACTTGCAGCAATAGCCGATGTAGTGAAGCAACCAAGTTGGTGGGGGGGGGGGGGGTTGAATGCTCTCCTTAAGGAGGCCAGACTTGCTGGAGGTGGTTGACAGGGGCAGAGCTGCAGGCTATTGAAGGCTGCTCTGCCCCCTGCTGTGCTCTTTGCTTCAGCGTGAGCTAGGAGGCAGGTTTCAACCCCCCCAATTTTCAACCCCCCCCCCAAATTTCAACCCCTCCCAAAAAAATTTTCTGGCTATGGCCCTGCCTGAAACATTACCTCTGTTCTCTTTTCCCAACTGCTTCCCATATGCTGCTCTCTGATTACTATCCTACCATTTGATATTTGATTCAGTGGGTTAGGACTACAAATACAATTCAGGCCATATGTTATTAATTATGATTAGGCGTCGGGGGGAATTCACCCCAATGTGTTTTTGAGCAGAATTTTGTAATATGGTTCTCCTAGAACCAAACAGTCTGTGGTCTAAAATATTTGCATTTCTGAGTTTGTCTTACAATTTGCACAACAAAAATGTACTAGGAGAGTGCTGAGATTTGGGGAAAAAATATGCATAAGAAATGCATACATTTGAAAAAGTGTGCACTCCTTAGTTAATTGGAGAAACAGTTTACATTTGAAAATTGACCTTTAAAATATGATCGTGTTTTAGATAAGAAAAGAAAATTCCTATAGGTCATAAACTTCCTAACCTTGTGCTAGACCAGTGTGCAAAAGAATCTCTAGTGATGACAATGTTTGGTAATTTAAATCCAATGTACCATACCATAATCAAAGGCATGCACCCACATTCACAAGGCAACCATTGTTAACAAATCAGCCCTTTTAACACAGCCATGAATGTAGCTAAATAAACAAAGCAGTAACTTTTATTGAAATATATCTCCAGTATATTATACATGAAGTAAATGCTTATACGATTAATGAAAAAGCAGAATAGTTGGTCAGAGAACTGCAGAATTCTGCAATTAAATTAAAATGTACTAGAAAGCTGGCCAATGGAGCAAAAGGGGCAACAAAATGGCAGTGCAGTTGGGGTTCTCTCTACTCTCTGGAAGTTGAATAGCCTCAGCTTGGGAACATGGAAGTGGAACAGAGAAAAGTTATGCCCACAACATGCCCACACCACCATGTGGATTCATACAATACTGCATGAACAGCACTTTCACACAAGTGTCAATGTGAGAACAAAGCACTTCTAGAACCTATTCATGGGTTTCCTTGATTAATTAAAAGGTACATAAAAACAATGGAGAAAACCTAGAATTCTATGACACCATGTGATGAGTAGTGTGATTTCGCATTGTTAAATAGTTGCTAATTCATACTCTTTCGTGTAATAATGCCCTAGGCTGTCAGCGATAGATAGTGGTGGAAGCGTTTGGTATACACCTTGGCAACCTTTTGGTGATGGCAGAGTTCTGGGTGGTGAAGGGACTTGCCCTTGGTGATGACCTGGGGTGTACTTTCACTTATAAAGTCCTGGGATTAGGGAGAAAGTGGGTTTGCCTTCTGGTAATTAGCTACCCATAGCACTAGATTGCGCTTAGATTCAGGTGTTTCACCAGAGGAAGGTGGAGGAAATAATCCCAGGTTAAGACCTAGCTTCAACTGCACCCACATTCCCATGCACAACTCAAATAGGTTAAAAATCCAATAAAGTGGTTCTTATTTAACCCAGTTTCTGGTCTCATCATTTAATGGTTAATCATCAATAAACAACTATTATTTTCCCATTTCTAAAATTACATTATGCTACTGAGATAATATATGTGAGTTTCTTTAAATAAACACGTGCATTCTTATGTAAATACCATTTATTTTTAATTCCTTCTGCTTCAGAACACAGATGTGAAAGCAAGCGAGCTCTACTTGCTAAAAAGATTAATTTAATTTTGAGTCCCTGCTTGTGGACTGATTAGGAGAAGCAACACATGGAAAAGATTTTTTAGCCAATTCTCAGCATCATACAATAGAGAATTACTTGTTTCTTTCCCAAAACTCAACTGTATGTTGACTATAATACTCTCCCCTATTGAGTCATTCATCTTCCCTTCAGAAAATTACCCAATTTAGGGCTTTCAATTGATTAAAGATATTTTAGTTTAATTACCTGGCTTTGATTAATCATTTACATTTCAATGAAATTACATTCTGAAAGCCTACAGCAAGCTTTAATGAAGATCCTAGAGGAATGTAGTTTCTCTTAATCTAACATACAGTTTAGTAAACTACAATCTGCTACCGTACTTGTTGCTAGATGGAAAACTCTTAATACTATTTACTTCTTCACTTTATTCAAGAATATTAATATTCCATGTGATAGTAACTCCCCAAGGGTTTTAGAATGAAATAATTCAAGCATGTATCTGCTTCTAGGCTCAGCCTTTTCTGATTGCTATTCGTTATTCTTCCATTCACCAGTTACATGTCAACGCCACATCTAATTATATTTTTAAATGGAAAATATAATATTATCCCTTTAGATATTTTATGCTAAGCAAACTAAATGTTGTAAACATTCAGTTAAGATGTGTACAAATCCTAATTTAAGATTACATTGTACACACATTTTGGTATATTCTCCCATTTTTAAAAGATGAGAAGTCTTCCAAAAATGTGAATGTATACTCCTAAAATACATATGCTGTGATCTGCATTAATCTTAGTTAGACTTTACAAATGCAGCATTCCTACCACACAGCATATGCTGACATTCAACCCATCTTCATGGCCTTTTGGAAGCTGGATTGGGTCTGTTTTGGCCCAATCTACTGTCCAGGTGGACACAATGCCCATTACTCTTTCCTAGAGAACAGAAAAGTGATGACTAATCCTCATTTCATTGCTGCCACTGCTTGCTGGCTATAGAACTTCTCTGTGAGCACTTTGCTGTCATGGTTGCATCTGCTGATGTCAGAATGGGGCAGTAAGGAGAGGCACATTACCCATTCTGAAATCGCACATTTGTCAGGAGACAGTCAGGCACTCACAAGGAGATATGTGGCTAGCAAGGAGTGGCAACAGTGACATGGGGACATGAGATTGGGCTAGCTATAGGAAGGGCTGAACTGTCTGAATACTGGCTTTAGATTCAGCAGGCATGCATGAGATTGGGAGCAGCTCTGGCACAGAACTACCCCAGAGTAACTTGCCCTTTGTAGATGTGGTCCATGTTACAAAATCAAAATTTAAGTCTGTTTCAATCATTTCTAGATCAAAAATGTCAGTCTCATCATGATGATTGATATTTATAATCACACAGAAATTCAATTCTCTGAAAAATATATTAGTATAGAGGATCATTTTTACTATTGTCACTCCCAGCTTTTGCACATTCATTTAAACAAGTCTATATAAATAGGGCGTTTTGGCCATAATTGGGAAAACTTGTGACTACTTAGATCCAAAAGTGACAGTAGTGGCAAGGAGTCTACTACTACATTTTAGATCAACAGTAAGGGATTACCTGTTGGGATGCTTAGATGGAGATTGTGCATTGAACAGGGAGTTGGACCCTTTCCAACTTAATTGTTCTATGACTTTATGAATTCTGGTCCTCCAGAATTATTGGGTTATACATTTACTAACTATGCATCTATGGTTGGTGGTGATGATTTTGGGAGTTTCACAGATCCCCTAACCTTTCCTTGGAGCAAGAAACTGGACTTAGAGATGGGAAAAGAAGATTATTGACATCCTGTTAAGCAATTATGTCATTGTCAACATCTTACTATCATGTAAAGTTAAACTGCACTATTGCACCATGCAAGTATTCTGAAGAGGACAGAGAAATTGAACTATATTTCTAGGACAATGTGCAAGTGGACCTATCAAAGTAT